GGGGGTCACCAGAACATGAGGAACTGTATTAAAGGGTCGCTGCATTAGGAAGGTTGAGAACCACTGCACTAGAGTCACCTAAAGAGCTCATTAAACATAGGTGCTGGGTCTTGCCCCAGGGTTTCTAATATAATTTGTCCATCCAAGGTCTGAGACGGCATTTCTAACAAATTCCCAGATGATGTGTATGTACCCTGGTAGTCTGGTGACCCAACTTGAGAAACCAGTATTCAAGAAAGATCCTCTCTGGCCCTGGGTCTCTGAATGATGCCTCCCTGCAAACCCAAATCTACCATGTAGCATACATGAGAAATCAGCTTTTTTTCTGCTTTAATTTCCCTTGGATTTTTGATGCTCAAAATTGAAAGGTAAGGTTCCCCCAGAAGCATCAATTTCTCACAGTGCATAATCCTCAAGAAAACCTGGTTTTCATTGGAGGGACTTGTCCTCATCCCATAAGGCCACAGGCACACAGGTCCTCCTTGTCGGACAGTGCAGCGCGTGACTCCCTTGGGTCATCTTCCACCTGGAAATTTTCCTAAAGTCAGTGTTTTTTCCTATGGCATCCATGGGCCTGAGTCGTGCTTTACTCCCAGGATTTATCAAAGTCTTGGAGAGGGGGTGAGATGTGTCTGAAAAAAGATGTCTCGATGATTTACCTGACATCAGACTTAGGTGATGTTTATGCTGGCCATAAACTTCTGGTACACAGCAGCTGGTAAAATGCAAGCAATTCCATGAATTGCCCTAGAGCTAGGAACCGTAAAATTAATCTAGATAAGAGTCAACTCTAAACCTAGCCTGAGCTAGGTCCAGGCACCTCTGAGAGTCCGTTTCTGCTATTATTTGTAAGTTTTAGATGTTTTTCTTTCTCTGTTACATCTCTCATACGTCCCTCCCTCCAGCTGAGCTCTTATATCTTCATCTCTCTCTTCTCCACTTCTTTTGGTTCCTCTACTTAAAAGTTTTCCCAATTCTGCCACATTCTCTCTGGATGTTCCTTTTCAAACCATTCAGTGCAGGAGGAATACAAGATCTGATGGGCTGGGGGAAACTGAGAATCTGGTTGCATTTTTCGTTAAATTTCATTTCGCTTAAACATTGTGAATGAGGGGGAGTACAGAGCGGCGACCCAGGGCCCATCTGGGGGAAATTGGACATCCCCTTGCAGAAGGGCTGCCGGGAGGAGATGAGCCAATCAGAGTGCAGTGTAGCAATGATGAAATATACAATTTTCCTCTAGTTCTTAAATGCTTCCTCCCCCC